TGTTTGATATGTAAATGAGTGTAAATATGTCCGCTAATTTATGACGTCATATTGAAATATCTCGGGAACAAACCATAAAAAACATGAAACTGAAAAATAAGTTACACTATAGCTTAAAGAGTTCTTTCATTTAAGAAATTAACATAAGAAATTTCACGTCATATGCACTTTAAGCCCCATTTACACTACGCTCAATTTTTGGTACGGCACGGATAAAATATGGTACCCGTACCAAATCGGCCCCTGTAAATAGGTAGTCCGACTGTCCGAGCACGGAGGTTCAGATTTGACTTCCACAATACCGCTATCTCTAACTGCCTTAGTACTTAATCGCATTTATTTTTTATCAGTGAAAATGAAGCAATCTGATTGGCTGAGGAGCCTTTCAGAGCGGGCCGGTTTTTTGCATCCGGCCCGCTCTGAAACGCAACTGCCCGCTGTGAAATGCAACTGCCCGCTCTGGTTTTCGCGCCAAAAATCGAGGAGTGAAACAATTTTTAAACAAAAAAATCTGCCAAAAACGTTTGAAAATCACAGCCTAACGATAGTCAGAATACGAAAATAAATTTCATCAAGCCCTAAAGACTTCATACTAAGCACGATGTTCACTAGAATTGACAATATTTTGATAGAAATGCGACTGAAAGTCGGAAAGTTATTTGACATGTATAAAACTTACGTCGAGAAAACTATATATTTTTTAAATGCTCATGTATTCGGCCACTTAAAAACAAAAAAATTACAGCTGAAACAGACATTGTGAAATAAATGTCTTTCTATTTAAAAGAAGGTTTAACTGCAGCAGTGAAAACAAGTCACGAATATATTCTCTGCCCATTTGTGTCATGCATTTTTCACTGATATAAATATTGTAAACAAAGTAAAAATTTGTTTTTAAAAACACTTTTTTCAAGCATATTATCGTGAAACGACAAGCAAAAATACAAAAATATAAAAATAACATACCTTTTTCATTGTTTTTTTAGTAGAAAAACGTTGATTAAATCAAAATAGATTCATTTTTATGTGTTTTTGATCGGACTGAACATGAACCTGTCGTTGTCAGGAGCAACTGATTTTGTCAAAGCCAAAAGCCAGGCATAAAAGTTTTTATTCCAAATCTTCTCTGCTACCATATTCATGAAAAAAGCGTGTACATTTTTGCTGAAACTATACGTCTTTTTGTGTGTTTCTTGCCAGTTTTCTCGAGTTTTCGTATTCGTGTTTTATATCTTTCAACTTTTCAATTTTTGTGATTTTGTCAGCCTCGCTTTGAAAATACACAACTGCACTGATCTCAAATTAGTTCGCAAGCAACACTGGAATTCTAATAAATTTAACTTTTGTCTTTTACATCTGATAAAAAATAAACACGTTATTTACCGGCAGCGTCGGTCCGGATGAGAAAAAACTGTGCCCTCGGTCTTGAAAACGTCCCTCGCCCTTCGGGCTTGGGCCGTTTTCAAGACCTCGGGCACAGTTTTTCTCATCCGGACCTCGCAGCCGGTAAATAACATAATATTCATCTTGCTTTTATGTGGGAACCGGGCTAGCCCGTCTAGGCGAGATTTCGCTTTGTGAAGCACTGAAGCAGGGATCTCGCTCAGCTGCGCTGGAAATTTCCATATAAATGCAATTGCCCGGGCGCCTATAAGCGGGCTGAGTGTTATCGCTCTGTTCACGCGAAGGTATTAGAGAGGTTCAGATTCGACTACCGCTACCATTAATGGACTACTAGAAAATACATGCATGCAGAAACCCTCGCCTTGCTAACAAAACCGTTGTATTTTCCGAACATGAAGTATCTAAAGTAGTTGTTATGGTAACATGATAATTTTTTAAGAATATTCTTACAAATGAAAATCGCCTAAAAATATCACTTTTAATTACAAAATTATCAATTTCTCAACATATATATGTTAGGTATGTAATTATACGTAATACAAGCTTCAATTTAAGGTAAAATTCAACAACAAACAA